ATTAAAGTTTTTCTTCATTACCCATTTAAGCCGTCTCCAGCCATTATTAGTCTCAAAGTGGGTTCCTCGTCATCGAAAAAGACTAAGGTTGATATGTTGGGGCTACCATTAATTTTTAGTCTGTATTCTTCTAAGATATTCCATTATTACATCAGAGATTTACACTGTTCCACATGAATGTCAGAAGTTCCTGCCATTGTTACACCATTGTTGTTACATCAGTGCATTATCTTCTTATACTTTACTGGTTTCCAGATCCAATTTCTCTAGCAGTGGATGCTTTGAGTCTATCTGGGTAGAAGTTTCTCTGCCTCTACTTATCCGTCTTTATTTTCTTTCTCAAGTATTTGCCAAGAGTAGTTGGTCTAATTGTCCAGTTACTCTTATTGCTCTGTGCTGGTCTGTTTCACTATGGTTTTCACTCCCCTCATCTAGAACTAAGAGGGATCCTATTCCATTATTTTTGGTACATGTTCCACAAAGATATTTGTGGTATACAACTTCATGGGTGGGTGTTACATGGTTCTTTGTTAATAAACATAGTTTCTTTTCTTGGGTGACACTAATGTTATCACATTATTGCAGATGTTCCTATTTGTCAGTATACCAGCCTCATTGGTCTGTTTTTCAGGGTTAGTATCTATGGAATTTGGTTTCTTGTCTTTCTCCAACTCATTCACCATTTCCAGGGTGCTTGGGAATGTGAATAAATCTAAATTTCAAATAAACAATACCAAACAAGAAGGATAGTGTTGTTAAATAAGTCTCATCTTCTGTATGAAGAATCGATATTTATATTGATTTGTCTAATCAGAACTTGTTCATTTTCTTTCTGGGCAACCCAAGTATTTCTGTATTGCCCAAGACTTTGTTCGCATGAATATGGGTGTACGATTTTTATTTTATTGTGTGTGTGTGTGTATATATATATATATATATATATATATTTCAACCTATGTACATATTTGTGTGTATGTTTGTGTTTATGTCTGTTCAAAAAGGCTACCCTCTGTGCTGGAACTCTGTGAGAGAGTGTTGTCTTTTGGAAGTAGACAGAGAGTGTCATGCAGTGGTTTATTGATGATGCCTTAGAAAATGGGACTACCATTATAAATAGATGTCACAGAATGAGGATTATCTATGTTTTATTCTTATTTCTTTGTTTTGATGTTTTCATTGCACTGTCCTCACATTGTTATGCCCATTCTTGGAGACTTCTTTGGTATTTCTTTGGCTTTATCTGAGCACCCATTAATTTGACCAGTTGTTTGATTCACTGACCATTTTCAATATAAATGAAGAGAGTTCACTGTCTCTAAAGTATGGTCTTTTATAATATGGGTCTAAGCTCCTAGCCTGAGGACCTTCTACTGTGGGAGAAGGATATAGTATTCTTCCTGACTTCCTGCCTGTAGCTTTTAGTGTTATAGCTTTGGTTTCAATTAATGTTCACAGGATCCCACCTCCTTTACAATGTGAGTATTGTGCCTTTCAGTATTTCAGAGGTATATTTATCTAATTTGAATTTAAAATGTTTGGAGTTAAAATGAATACTTACCTCTGAAGTACCTTCCCTCATGCCTCTTTACAACTAAGTCTTCATCAGGACTACAACTTTCAATAAAATATAAATTATAGCTGGAATGCAGAGCTTATGTAAGATCCTCCGACTCTTGATCAATAAGTCATGTGGGAGAGTGGGGAATTATGGGTAAATGACAATTACTCTTCAATTCATAAAGAGATTTGGAAATTCTCAATTATTTGTTCTGTTTACAGCATGAGTTCAAACTCAACAAGGAAAGGCTGTCAGTATTTCAAAGGTAAGTACGTCAGAAATTCATCTTAAAACAAAAAATATTTTAGCATTGTTGACTGAAATACATACACTAACCAGTAGATATATCTAAAAAATGATTGATAAGTGAAGTTAATATGAAAACTTGTATAAAAAGCAGGATTTGTTGATGCAGAACAAAATTCAATTGTTCTGTGGCACCAAAGTGTTCACTTAACACTTGCTTGCAAAGCATACTTACCTCCTTTCACACTTATAGCTATTACCTTACTGCCGGGGTTTCTTCCTTTGCCCATCAGAACATTAGTCTGATTTTTTGTTGCTTGCTGCAGTCTTTTATATCCTACTAAATTGACCTTGGTGATATTTATCTCATCACACTCTCCACCTACGTCAATGTGCCATCTATTCTGGTACTGTATATAAGCACCTCATTCAGTTATTGTTATTACTTTTTCTCAACAAAGTGTCACTAACAGGTTTTCCAGTATTACGATCTTTCTGAGATACATTGAATGTTATCTAGTTGATTTTAATAATAATAATAATAACTAAAAAAAAAGTTTATTCTGATTGGCAAGCAATTTACCATATGAATTCCTGGAGGCAAGTCAGGTCTGTCCTATCCCGTCTCTGATATCTAGTGTCGCACAACAATTGGGTGGGGTGGGGGGGAGAGTCACTCTTGGTTGAGACTGTCAGTGACCTTATTCATAGTGAGATTGAGACATATATTCAATTTTGTGGTGTTCCTCCAGGAGGCTCTGAGGCTGCAATTGAGGTAAATCATTGACATTGTGGAGAGAATTTAGATTCTCTTTTTTCCTGAGCTTTCTTTTAGTCTGTTGGATTTTAAGTCCCCCTGTGGGACAGTGGTGAGTTTGAGGACTTGGTTGACATGGCAGATGGCTCAATAATGCTTTGCTCTAATAAAACAAATTTATCTAACAAAGTGTTGCTCCAATCAATGGTAATCAACACAGTTTTTAAATGACCTATAAAAACAAAATGAAGACCACTTTGGGATAAGCTGCCTTTGATTTGTTTTCTTCTGTTGGTTCATCGAGCGTATTGCTTTTGAGCCTACACCTTGATGGCTGAAAGGTCTGAGAATGAATTCTTAGTTTTCTTTCCATCCACATATATTGTGGTTTATGCTGGGAGGTTTACTTCTCAGTTACATGAAGTGAGAGTTATACCTTATCTGACACAGTTGTTGGAACTTTGTGATTCAGCCTACCACCACCAGGTGGAAGCATTTTCCTACTCTCAAATAATACATCTGCTCCTCGATTTTTGGGGTTCTAAGGAGTTTGTAGTTAACTTGAATAGATCAGTGTCGCCTAATGGGACAGGGTAAGTCTACAGACTTACAACTCTAAAATCCAACATTATATTTTATTTTCACCTCACTTTGTTGGGAGACTCAGGATCACCAACTTCATTGATAATGAGGTAGATCCATTGTTAGCTTGCACGTTGGTTCAGTTGTAGGCTTCTACATTTACCCATATTGTCAAATTTCATTGGCTTCTACAGGGGATCATAGTTCCTTTCCTGTCTATATCCCAGGGTTCTGCTGCTTGGTCAGATCGCCACTAGGGACATTGGTAATTATTTTATGCCTTCAGGGTCTGTGGGAGCTCAGCGCCGTGAGTTTCTAGATGTGTGGTAACCTTAACCATAGATCCAGGAGTACAACAGGTCTTTGAGTTGGGATTAGTCATTAATTTACATCTTCACCATTATTATCCACCCAACCTGTAGTGTTTCCTTCTCCCACAGATCCTCGGGATTTGGAACTTAGTTTTAGGGCTAACCAAGTTTGGTTGGTCTGGGGGTAGTGAGAGAATCGTGGTAGTTCTTCCAAGATTTATTCCCATCAGTTGTTGGACCTCAGAAGACAGGAGATTGGTGTCCAGTCATCAATCTTTCTCATCTATATCAATGCCTAGATTCTCCAATTTTTCACAAGTTATTCATTCCTCAATATGAGTTGACATTTTTTACTGGGATTGTGGATATCCAAGTTCATTGTAGTCAAATCCTATCTGCACATTGCCATAGTGGTGGCACTTGATGTAAGCTTCTGAAAATGGAACTTGTTTCATCAAAATTCACAATATTTAAACCTACTTTTGTTGTTATATTCCTGCTAATTTCCATCTTACTATACTACTAGAAAAAATAAAATGTATACAATGGCTTCAAAATGAGGAATTTTCATTCAAAGTTCCGAAATGAAGAAAGTTATTTCGGCTATTTTCCATATTTGGCATCCCACCACTGTTGGCATTTTTTTTTGCACAAGGGTCAGGTACTCCAGTTCAGGGTTTTTACCTTCAGACTCGTATCAGCTCCACTTGGGTTCTGCCATTTTCTACGAGTTTTTCCTCATCACCTTCATCCATCGTACTGTGCACACACCATTCCATAGATGACTGGTTACTGCTTGCAACATTTTGTCAATTGTCAGAATATCACATCCTGATTATACTTTCTGAAACAATCAAGGCAGACTTCATTCTTAGGGCTGAGACATCTATTTTTGCTCCAATTCAACATGTCATCAGTCTGGGTATTTTTTATTTCTCGTCTCTCAGTCAGGCTCACCTGAATCTTGTCCAGCTCAATGCTATGGAATAGGAAGCCTGTCTCTTACTCACCTCTCCTTCTCCCACTGCACGGATGGTTCTTTCTATTATGGGAATGTGGGCATCACTCAAATCCCTAATACCTTTGGGATGAGAGCACAAGAGACCATTTTAATGGTCTTTATGCGACCAAGAGATCATAAACATCAATTCACTAGATTCCCCAGTTTTCTTAGTCAGGATCATTCTTCCATCATGAGGGGTTGTTAAGTCTGGACACTACTAAGATATGGTTCCTCTACCACCAACTTGTCCAAAGTTTCATCTCCTCATGAATGCCTTGCTTCAGGGATAGGGTGCATATACCAACAGTCAGGAATTCCAGGGTCTATGCATGGATCATCTGGCACTTTGGGATGGGTTTTTGTATCTTTCACAATCACCCTGTTTAAGGCAGCCTTATCAGCTATCAATCGATTCTTGTGACTAAATATTCTTTGAGTCCCCAGTGCTCTTTGGGTCCTTGGCTCCAAATGACCATTCCAGTGACCTAAGAGATATAACAAAGTTACATTACATACTTTTTCTCAACACCTGTTTGTGACCTGACTCTTATATGCCATGTATCCCCTTTACCTGAAGGTTTATTTTTTGTGACTGCTGACTTACAGAAATTGCCAGTTGGAGTAATTTGTGCAGTTTGTCCACAGACTGCTTTCTTATTCTCTCTACATCCTCAGACAGGTTGTTCTTACCGAAGATATTGTCAGACAGGGAAGGGGATAAATCCTTTTCACTGATTCATCTTATCAATATTTCTCACTTCTGTGTCTGATCAGATTTCGATCATGGTCATGTTCAGTGAGGGTCTTGAAGGTTTTGTTGCCTGCACTAATCCCTTTAGAGATGCTAGAAAATGACTTTTCATTCTGGATTATCTTTGAAGGCAAAAAATTCTCTGTGAGTCATGTGTAATCAGATTTGTCACATTTCTATGGCTTGAGCAGCTTGGCTGAATTGCCCACTGGAGGAGATTGTGCGGACTGGTATGTGGACCTTCTCAATATTTTTATCTCGCATATTTTGAAATATTTGACAGTACCTTCATCTAAGGGTTTTTGCCTACCCTCTTTAGCTAACTTAATCTTTTCTGCTAGATTATACAGAGGGGTGAGTATTTTCATTATTACCTTTCAGGGTCCTTTACCTCGTTTTTACATGATCCCACTCTGTGGCGAATGTTGTCCATGCAGGTGTCCTTTTATCAAACCAATTCTGTACTAGCAACCACTAATTGAATGTACCTTTTCTAGGTTGCAACAGGCTCTGTAGAAATGAGGTGTTCCATAAGACCACCTAGAGGCTGACTGGGAGGTATTACTGTACTATTGTGGACTGCCACTCATGGACTATCACGAGTAAAGCATGAGGGATCCTGGCCATCCCTGCCAATCATTGGATTAAATAAATCTGGAGTTGGTTTGCTTTCAAAAATTTAGGGAACTTGGCTCACCTATTGCACTGTTTCCAAAGCACTGTTCCTCCAGACTCCCCAACATGCATTACCCCCAGATTCTACAAGTTGAGCTAGGGAGTCGTTAAGCTAGGAGAGGCACCAGCCTACACAAGAGTTTACTCGTAATTTCAGATTTGATGCTTGGCTATCAGACTGAGTTGAGCGTAGTTCTTCTTTTTGATCAATATTGGTTCAGTACATTGTTCATAGAACAGGGTCCATTGTGTCCTTGTAATTCCAAAGTAATTGGGGTCCCATCGTGAGTTCTTGGTTAATCACAGTTGTTCCACGTCCTTCCCATAATTCTGGGGGCAGGGGAAATTTACCTTGCCCACACAGTTGGAGAGTGAGAATGAGTGTTCATAATTCCAGACCAGAAAAGTTCTGTTTCCTCAGGTTGAGTAAGGCATACGCGATCCTGTCATTCTGTGCCCGGGGGTGTTGCCTTTTGGACTTCTTCAGGGAGAAGAAGGTTTTCCACTTCAGTGTTGCTTACTTTTTCGTCATGATTCCATTGGCTTGGAAGTCATCACTCTCTCTCTCTCTCTCTATATATATATATATATATATATGTACATATACATCACCAATGTGGGTTATAGGGACCATGGCCCTTTAATTCCAACCTTGAGTAGTGGAACCTTAGCTATTTGTTTGGGGCTATGGTGTAGACAAATCAGATAAAATTTCACCGATACAAGAATTAAGTTCTGGGTGAAGATTGTACCTGTTCTGAATGTAGTGTGATTCCCCCCACTAGGGTGCCAATCATTTATTGACACACCCATGATCTATGCAAATGCTATCTGTATGGATAATGCCCTCACTGGCCCCTCCACTTTATCAATGTGGGATTCTAGTTATGAGTATGAGAGGAGGTAAGTATGTTTTAGAAGTTAACATTTTCTTAAATTGAAAATGTATTTCCAATAATACTTGCCTTCTTTCACCTTCTCCTGCCCTTCCTCCCTACTAAGAGCAAGTGTTAGAGACTGCTAATTGGGTCAGTCTTGAAAAAGTAATAATATTAATTGAATGAGGTGCTTATATACAGTACCAGGATAGAGGATGCATTGACATAGGTGGAAAGTGTCACAAGACAGATATCGCCAAGGACAATTAAGTGGGAACTAAAAGACTGGATCAAGCGAGAAAAAATTGGACCAATACTTAGATGGGCAAAGAAAAAGAAACCCTAACAGTCGAGTAATAGCTGTAGTGTTAGCGGAGGTAAGTATTATTGGAAATACACTTTCGATTTAAGAAAATCTTAACATTAGGTAAAATTGCTTGATTAAAGAATTTACGACTTATGAGTTAGTATTTTCCTCATATTTGGATTACTTTTTTTTTTACAGTCTTCCTGAAGCATTTGTAGTTCCAGCAGCAATTCTTGGTAAAGATGTTAACAACTTAGCTCCTCTGTGTAATGGACGTAGGTTTCCAGTGAGTATAGTTTCTGACTTCACTGTGTGATAATTGACAGGAAATAGAAGTTGTGAAAATATAGTCACAGATCTGGAAAATAAAGAGAATTTTATAAAGGAGTAAAAAGCACAGAAAAGTCAGGGAACCTGTTTTGTTTTTTAAATCTTGGAAGGTGCATTTTCCAACTATAGGTATATTTTAGTAAAATCTTGGTCAATTAAACTGTGTTATTTTATCTGGTGCTAATTTTAAATCCATTATATTAAATGCCAAGATAACCCAATTATTACCATATATTTCTGTTGAGTGTGATGTGGTGGTTAGCCAGTCTAGTTGGTGGATCTGAGGATTCATGGTTCATAACTTGTTGAAACATAGATATGGTTTCACTTTAGGGCTTTGCACATGCCAAGAGTAATGGCTAAATTCTGCTACCTGATAAGAGTGACAGTTGGTGTTGTTCAGTAGAAACCTTTCTTCTAGTCTATCAGTTTGAAATTAAGGACAGCTTAGTTTACAACAACAATAATTTTGTGACAGGAATTTAGGTTTAAAAATATTTCAAGCCTCAAAAAAAAAAAAAAAAAAGTTGGGACCTGAAGGACAACCTGGGGTGGTCAGAAACTTGTTTCTCTTCACCCTGCACTGTGAAATAGTTAATGCCAAACAAATTTTGTGAGAACCATTGGGCTTAATTTGAACATGTAAGGTGGATTGTTTAAAGACTTGTGGAGAGGGCTGTGAAGAAGCTGTCATTCTGTGGTCAGAATGGAAGACGTGCATTGTTTGTCCACCTGGTGATGATGTCAGTTGGAGAGAGTAGTCGATGAGGATAGCAGCAGAGAGATGCAGACTTAGTGAGCGAGATTCTGTTTGAATAAATTTCTAAGAGATTGCTTGATCTCAAGAAAAGAGATATTATGATTAAAGTGAGTCTGATGGACTTACAAGATTAACAGCCCTTTTCAGAGGGGAGGGAGCTGGGATAAAATAATACTATACCCTTAAACATTTTATGCAGGGGGGGGGGGACTGGAGTGCCCGGATAAAACCTGCTTTTGTGGGTCAGGCACTGAATAATCTACCTGACTCGTGCCCGAGGTGTGAAACTGAATAGAAAATGAGTGATTAATACATTTCTGTTAAGCACTATTAATATAATTGAACAAAAAAGTGTATGTAGAAGGTGTGTCTGTTAGGATGGGTAAGGTGCTTGTTACTCTGTTCCTGTTTTGGGCTTTAGTGTTAATGTGATCCTTAATGAAAGGTAGGTCAGTGAGGTTGTTAACATAAATTTGTGGAGTGTATTTTGGGAGATGGGATTCTGTTCTGATAGTGGTGAACTGTTGCTGCTGGATCTTTTTTGTATAATGTGTTAGGCATATTACACATAATGGGGCATCCATATTCATGTACAAGTCTGATGTAGGCTCTGTCAATTTTAATGACTGAGTGGCTGTTACAGCCTTTGTTCATGCTCCGGATTTGGTGAAAGAGTGCCAGTCTAGGGTTTGTTTTCTTGAGAATATCTTTATAGTGAGCAGTCCATGATTGGTGTGTGTGTGTGTGTGTGTGTGCTGTGACTCCTAAAAATATGGCAGTTGTTTTGAAGGTGATGGGGGGTGTTGTATAATGTAAGTTTGATTTGTTAAATTTTTTTGTTTTGTCTTAACCTTTTCCTGTGAAATGCTATTGTCTGTATCTTGATCGGATTGAGAAGTACTTTCCATTTGTTATACGATTTAATTAAATTATTTAATACAACTTGGACTCTGGATGTGTCAGTAAGTGGGTCACATGAAGTGCTCCAAATGGCAATGTCATCAGCATACTGAGAGATGATGATGTATATTAGCTGCAGGAGGGGTATGTCATTTATGAATAGAATGTGGAGTAGTAAGTAGGCTACAGACAGAGCTCTGAGGGATTCTTGTTTTTAATAGGAATGTGTTGGTCATCATGTTATTGATTTTAACTTTAGTAATTCTATTGATGATAAAGCTAGAGAGCCATCTGGTGATGGGAATAGGGGAGTCTTGTCTTTACTTCAGGGCATTAAGCCAAACAGTACTGCATGCTTGCTTTACATGTAAAAAGGCTACAACTATGGAGTGATTGTGGTTAAACTCTTGGTATATATATTTGACTAATCTTACTAAGTGAATGGTAGTCTGTCTACATTTTCTGCTCATGTTTGGGTTATTGTTGAGGATGTTATTGCTTTCCAAGTAATGTATAAGTCTGTTGGATATGACTTTTTTTCTTATAAGTTTACCTAATGTGTTCAGCAGGCTTATGGGTCTATAGCAGTTTGGTAGGCTGAGGTCTGTGTCTTTTTGATGATAACTTTTATGATATCAGACCTCCAAGTTGACAGATAGTCTCCAGAAAATAAGGATATATTGTATATGGAGGCTAGGTGTTTTAGTATGTAATTTCAGGACGTATGTGTTCACTTTTTTTGGTTAGGGATTGAGAAATCTTGTAATATTTGAGTAGGATTGGAGGAGTGGCGAGAATTGTAGATCGTGGAAGAAATGGGATCATGGGTACTGTTAATGTTGTTGTGTGCCTAAAACTTAGTTGCATGAGGGAAGGGGATACTATTGCCAAGTCTAATATATCTTGTGTCCTTAATGGGTTGATATGTGTTATGTTGTTATTGTTAATGACTAGGTAATTGTTGTCTGTTGGTAGGCGATGTAGTGTTATTCCATTTCTGTTGGTGGACATGCAGTTGAAAACAGTGTGTTTTGAATTAAGATCATTACTTATTATTAGGTTCGGGTAATTAGTAATGATGTAAAAACATGATATTAGATAAAGAGGTTGGCAAGTACCATTATAATAGTTTGGTTAGTGCAGTTGCTACAAAATGTGGTCGTTGTCGTAGGGGTAAGATGTTGTGGGAATGTTATCTTTAAGTCTTTTTTTCTATAGTAAGGCTATGCCTCATTTTCCTGATGATTTAGATGTGTGTCAGATTGTAACTGAGTAGATTAAATTTACAGCTATTATTTAAGAGTGTTTTGTTTGTACTGATAATGTCTGCTTGGATCTTATTGCTAAAGTGAAGTAATTCATATGTTTTGTGATATAGACCTCCCTGTATGTTTACATTTAAAAACAAACCATTTTAAAAAGAAAACTTACCTGTTAAGGTGAGCATATAGTTGACATCTGTAGATGTTCTACTCCACAAATGTGGTGTGAAATGTGTCTGGTACAAAGTAGTCTTTGTACTCTTTGTTTTTCTAGGATTTGATTGGATTTATTTTCAGTGAATTATAGGTTATCTATCACACACAAACTAACTAACAAGGATGTTTACTAGTCTTACCACATGAAATCTAAGGGCAGTTATTTTTAACAGTAAATTTTAGTTTATTTAGTAATAGCATACTAAAGCCAGATATTCCAATTTCCTTTTGTCAGTGCTATACCCTTATTTTTAATTTCATTGATTTTTAATAAATAATTAGTTTATGTAATAAACATCTCACTTTCATAACAATCCTATATTCTTTATCTTATCAACCTTATCAACTGATTGGACATGCAACACCCATTAATATATTGGTGAAAGGTTTTTAAAGGACATGTGCAACAGTAACATCCAATAAAACCTGAGAATGTTAGTTTTAGTATTTTTACAATTATAATCAATGTAACCAAGTAAATGATTTTCATCAACAAACATTCTGTCGCTGTAATAGTCTTTAGAGAGCTTGTGGGGAGAAACCTAAGGAAGGATATTAATAGTATTTTCAACTTATTACAATGTGTATTGTTGTATATATATATGATATATTTATATGTTCAACAGTTTAGGATGAAAAAATAACTTAATTCTAAATTGATATATCTTAAGATGGCTATCATATTAAATGAGAGCTAGTTTCAAAATGCCTTTTTAAAAACTTAAAACAAGTTGAGAATAGGAACATTAGTCTCATGTGAGAATTAGCCCTATCATTAATCAACGAGTACATTCTGCTAATTGCCCTTTTACATTGTGCAGTGGTTGTGAAAACAATTATCATTTTAGCAGTGTACAATACTCTGTAAAATCTTGGTACTTGTGATTCTAGTAATGTACGGTGAGCTATAAAAATATAGCTATGATATTTACTGTACAGTGAGGTGTAATAATTTGAATATTTTGATTCTATTACTAAAATGGGAACAAGAAAAATCTGTTTCTTGTGGTTTTGATAATTGATGATGAGTTGTTAAGGCATATGTCTTTTGAGAGAGATTTTTGAAACTGAAAATAGTTTACACTTGTTACAACATTTTAATGAAATTGGCACCTTGAGTTCATACTTTTTGATTCAATGAAATCCTTCAAATATTTCATGAATACATACAGGTTAATATAAACAATGAGCACTTTTATATTTTTCTTTCTTGGTTGTGTCAGCTGTAAACAGTGATTCTTATTTTATTAATTAGATAACCTGTATCACAATAACTAGTGCTAACCTCTTCTCATACTTTTGTAGTTTGTCTAGTATCTTGGTTGAAAAGCCTGCTGTTATTGTTTTATTACTGTACTTTTTTAAGGTGAGTGTAGCATCATAGCTCCACTTTTTAGTTTGTGAATCTCAATTGTTTTTAGTTACTTTTACCACAACATGCAAAGAAGATAAAGGAAAAGTTTAGTGGTCATAGCAACTAAACAAATTATATATATATTAGTGATAGAGAGAGAGAGAGATGTGTCCTTTCTTTCTATTAATTTCTTTATGATAACACAACAGTTAATAAATATAAATTAATTGCACACTCCAACAGTATTGTCTGTGAAACATAATGTAATCTTTGCAGTATCTAGAGTTTCAGTATTCTTAGGTTTAAACTCTTTCTTTTTAATTTTAAAATATTCGGTTTAGTCTCTGTATATGACATACATGCTCACTGATTAATACTTGTTTTAAACAGAAATAATAACATTGCTGGTGTGGACATTTTTCTTGACCATCAGAACCCACCTTTTTTTATTAGTCCTGCTAGGTATAATAGAATTTTATCTCAAGTAGTAAAGTAAGAGACCTGCTTTTAGGCCAAACTTCAATTGAGTAACTCTGTAACAGAAACATATGTTGTAGAACTGACTATTATCATTGATTGTTAATTTTTATACTAAAATTAATCTTGGGAAAAAAGCATTTGATAATGATTATAATTTTATATCAAATCCTTAATTTTCCACTTATCACTAATATTAAACTTGCTCCCTTTAAAGAATACAATAATTGAATATTCTGTCAATATGGGTTCACTTTAACAATCAGTCTCTATGTAGTATCAAAATCGGTTTCAGGTTTTTGCTGGCTTTAGACTATGTGGACCTCAATTCAATTTAAAGTGAAATTAGTACTATTGTATCTGAAGATGATAAAACATTATTACCATATTTTGTGGAATCTGGCAAGGTTAAGTTGCAAATTCAGAGTTAAATAAATTTTTTGCTACTTAATTTTTATTTGTAAATAGTGATTTGTGAAATAACTGCAGAGATTTCATTTTCAGGTTCTTTTCTACTATACGTTGTGCTTGTCATGTGCTTCACTTGTAAAGTATATACAATCTATGTGGTTCACTTGTAATATATATTCAATCCATGTAGTTCACTTGTAAAGTATATACAATCCATGTGGTTCACTTGTAAAGTATATACAATCCATGTGGTTCACTTGTAATATATATTCAATCCATGTGGTTCACTTGTGATATATATTCAATCCATGTGGTTCACTTGTAATGTGTAAACAATCCATGAGCTTCACTTGTAATGTGTATACAATCCATGGGCTTCACTTGTAATGTGTATACAATCCATGGGCTTCACTTGTAATGTGTATACAATCCATGAGCTTCACTTGTAATGTGTATACAATCCATGAGCTTCACTTGTAATGTGTATACAATCCATGAGCTTCACTTGTAATGTGTATACAATCCATGAGCTTCACTTGTAATGTGTATATAATCCATGCACTTCACTTGTAATGTGTATACAATCCATGCGCTTCACTTGTAATGTGTATACAATCCATGCGCTTCACTCGTAATGTGTATACAATCCATTTGGTTCAGATATCGCATACTATAGTGGTATATTACTTTCAGTTGTTGTAGATGTTTCTTTCTACTGAAGAGTGTAGATTTGAATACTCTTGTTTTAAAATCTCAAAGCTCTCTACATAAGCCATTATTTGATTAGAATATTTTGTTTTTCAGACATGGAGCTGGGGTACATCAGATGGGAATGTGCTTGTTCGCATGTCTGGTGTTTTTGATATAGAACGACAGAGGTATGAGTTTTAAACACTTCATAACTTTAACCACTGTAGCCGTGTTTTAATTAGAAAAATAGTTGTTAATTATTTGTATAATAATATTACTATTTTCAAATGAATATGTATTTAATAATAACTAAAGAAGTAAACTACTTGAAACAATTAAAGGATGATTGGAATTTGTAAGAAAAGTTTATTTAATTAGCTATGACTATTACCAATACCAGGTTAAATTTTTAGTTTCGATCTAAGTAGGCAGCTTGTTGTTATTGAAAGTTAATATTAATTATAACAGTGGCACTGCAAACTGGTGTTATAAAATAACTATTTGATTGAAATATTTGATTAAAAACAAACTGGTTCAAAAACTTGCTTATAATTCAACTGATTCATCTCAAGAATCATGAACTTTATGCAAAATATTAAAAGATAATGCTAGTTAAAGAATATTCATTAGATATTTGGAATTGGTTAAAATCCATATAAACCAGCTGAAGCTTTTTATTTCAAAGACTGTTTATATATATATATATTCGAATGTTGGTGTACTTTGGTGACAG